AGACCAAAGTCCTTCGTTTATGGAACACCCCGACCAAGGGGTGGGTGAAGGTCGCTAGTTTTCGGTACATTCTAAGGGGTGGGCATGTGGTCGACAATGTCCACGCCTCCGGGCTGGACGACCACAATGTTTTCGGAACATCCCTTAGGGTGGGCAAGTGACAAGACCAAAGTCCTTCGTTTATGGAACACCCCGACCAAGGGGTGGGCGAAGGTCGCTTGTTTGTGGTACATTCTAAGGGATGGGCATGTGGTCGACAACGTCCACGCCTCCGGGCTGGACGACCACAATGTTTTCGGAACATCCCTTAGGGTGGGCAAGTGACAAGACCAAAGTCCTTCGTTTATGGAACACCCCGACCAAGGGGTGGGCGAAGGTCGCTGGTTCTCGGTACACTTTAAGGGGAGGGCATGTGGTCGACAACGTCCACATACCGGACGATGATTAATTAGGCGACAATTAATTGCGACGCGTTTCTATGGCTCACACTCATTTAAGAGCAGCAAGCAATGGCTAAGGTTTGTCACATGATGGGACGATGATTAATTACGTATAGTTAAGGACACTGAGAACAACAATGACCAACATATGCATCAGGAGCGCACACCAACATATCCACAGGAAATCATAATATAGAGCAGCACAAGAGCAGGAAAGTAAAAGCATCACACAGCACGAAGAAAAGGAAATTGAGATTTTCATTCCATGGCGAATACAAGATTACATACTGCACTAAAATAAAATGTAAAAATACATCGTCGAGCACTTAAATTATTTGGGAGGGATAGTGGTAGATGGAGCAGCGCCAGTCGACTGTGCTGCAGTAGTAGACGACACAGCTGACGTCACGGTAGCAGAAGCCTGCGCCGCAGAAGTCGACTGAGCAACTATGGTCGAGGACACAGCAGCAGCAGCTGACGGAGTGCTTGCAGCGGACGAGGCAAAAGCAGCAAACCCCAACTGAGACGTCGTAGTCGACTGGACGGTGGTAGAAGAAGTGGTAGCAGGAGTGGTCGATCGCGAGGCAGCACTCAAAGAGAGGGAGGCGGCGGCAGAGTTAGTGGGAGCCAGGGCAGAGGCAGGGGAGATGAACGATGGAGCGTTGGTTGTTAGAGGCTGGGGAGGAAGGACAGCCACCGAGAGACGAATCAGGGGTGCCTCGCCAGGCCTAGGCAGGTCGAACGAGCTCTTCAAGGAAGGGTCCCCCGCCAAAGTTCGCTCTAACGACGCCGACCACCAAGGATGATCAGCGGGCAGGTTCGGGTCGCCGGTGAAGTTAGAGGGAGCAGAGGGAATCGCCTCCCAGGTCTTATCCTGGTCGAGCTCACCGGTGAACCCCATCTCCTTCAGTTGGTGATCGACCTCCTCCATGCTATAGGTGTAGAAGTCCATCCCCATCTGAGCAGCCTCTTTGAGGAAAGCCGTCGAAGAAAGATAGTCTTTGATCAACTGCTCTCGATAGGCCCGGAGGAAATTTTGACCAACTTGGGTCCTCCACAGCGCCCTGCGAGACTGTTGCAGTGATAGCAGCGGCTTCAACCTCTTTCTTACGACCAGCCTTCTCCACCTCGAGAGCCTGGTCCTTGCCTTTCAGCGCATCCTTATACCGCTGCTCATCCTTTTTTAGCTGCTCCGCCAAGGCGTGGTGTGTCTTGAGCAGGTCCTCGTTCTCGGCCTTCAACCTCCTGTTCTCCTCCTCAAGACGCCTATTATCGCC